AAATCATAAATCATTCTAATGATGTAGGGAGTGTGTGTGTGTTTGTGTGTGTGTGTGTGTGTGTGTAACCAGATTATTTTTAGAAGAAACTGGAAGTTGTTTGGAGCCAAATATATTTGTGATCAAGCTAGACGATGAAGATTTGGTTGAAAAGAAATGTGTGATGTCAAGGGACTGCCCCTTCTAGTTTCTCCCTATTTTTGGCTTTGATGGTGGTTCCCAAAGAGAGGCCACAAGAACGTCTGGAGTGACAGAACATGGTGAGCACACGGGACCTCTGGGAAGGGGCCACACTCACCAGGAGCCGTGGGTATCAAGTGAGGCTATTTACGGCCCAAAGAACAAGGGGCACCGCAGGGAAGTGTGGAGGCAGGAGTGGCTTCGACTTCTAAACAACACGCCTCCGGAAACCCTTGAGCTTTGATAAATGTCGATAGTTGTAGAGAGGCTTCAAGCCTGTTGTGCATAGGGTCACTGTGAGTCGTGCTTGACTCAAAGGCAATCGACAACAACAGGGAATTTTAGGGATTTCTGGTGGTTTAGCTTGTAGGAAGTTGTGCAGATAACATTGGCCTTTGGAGGTTCGAACCCACCAGCGACTCCGTGAGAGGAAATGAGCCACCACCTGATCTACACTCGCACGGTTTCTCCTCACTGTTGAGCTGAAACCCCTCACAGCTGACCCCCCCAGCAGGTTTTCTGAGGCTGCAAACTGCATTTGAGGAGACTGCCCACCCTTCTCCTGAGCCTCTGGGAAACTTGCTGGTCCAGCTCCGAGGTGGTTCCAAGTCCACAGCAGTGAGCTTCTGAGAAGTCACAGAGCTCGGGGCAGGAAGTCTTAGCTGGTTTTGCTCCTTTAGAGAAAGACAGGAATCTCCTGCTTCGCTCTACAGCCTCAGAAACGCAATGGTGGGTTAAGAGGAGTCGCTCCCGACTGGATGGCAGTGTGACAGTGTTTCTGGGGTCACACTTGACAGTGAGCTGGGTTTAAAGGGTGCTTTTAGGAACGGACTGATGGGCTGCAAAGTGGCAGCTCTCCTTTTTTGACAGTTGTCTCCCCTCTTTATTAATGCAAACACGGGTTGGAGCAGCATAGACGCTGAAACAAGTCACATCACAGAGATCCACAGAACAAAATGCTTTGCATTCATTAAGCTTCTTTCTAGTTGTTCTGCATCATTGTTTCTGCCAATTAAAACAACTGCACAGCAATTGAGATAGTTTCGTCTATTTTCCTTTGTAGTTTTCAGAATATAAATATTTAAAACGTCAAAATCCGACAAATAACTTAGAGGACAGTGGTAACACCAACACTGGGCTGGGGACTGAAGGCTGAAGGACCCCGTGCGCTCTAACTGGTTTCTGTCCCTAAATCGTCAGTTCTGGAAACTCCCAGCTTCTCATCAAGACACAAAGCAGGTTTTGATCAGATCCTTCAACAATTTCTACATTCGTGGAGTGTGACAGGATGAAATCACAGAAGCAAAAGAAAAGAAAAAAAGAAATCATGCAAATGCACAAGACGGCTTCTTAACCAGCGATACAGTGGAAAAAATCCATTCGACTGGAAACATTTCTTGAATTTAAAGAAATGGATTTTCATGGCTATCAGCCAGCACACAGAAGATATACTATTCTTCAAAAAATTGAATCCATATATTTCCCTCTGGTGTAAGATTTCAGCAGAAAATGCACTACCAAGAGAAGACAGACTGGGAAGCAAAAGCAAATGGAAGACGGTCGCATTTAACACAAACCAGACAGGCTGCTCCTTTCCTTCCCAGGAAAGCTTATACGGTTGAAGAACGAATTCAGATTTCCCTCACGTGAGCGGAGCTGAGAAAATCTACAGAGTAAATGTGATAGCGAAACAGAGTTTACCATGCAATGGCTTGCCTCAGGACTGTTTCTCAACAATCATTTTGTCCTCTACAACTTCTAAAAAAATCCTTCAGACTCTGTACTGTGAACCAAGAGGAGGGTTCGAACCCAGCAGGTGCTGAGAGGGGAAGACGGGCGGTCTCCTCCCGCCAAGATTTACAGCCTCAGAAAGCCATGGAGGGTCGGTCACCAGGAGCTGGGACAGGAAGCTTGATGCCAACACTGTGCCACTCTCTCCTGACCACGAATCGGGGCACGTTATTGGGGCTCCACGGTGTAGAAGCTGCCCTCGACCCTCCCTAAAGTGTCAGGATGCTGCGTGGACTGATACTCGGGAAATGCATGCAGACTGTTATTCAATGGATGCTAATCAAGTGGAAATTAAGGAGCAAAGTCTCACTAAGTATTTTAGATCGACTCCTTGGCTGCTAACTCAGTTGCTAAAGGGGGAAAATATGAACATTATGATTGTTTTTGTCTCTGAAAGGTGATGGAGAGAGCAACACTGTCCGGTCTCTGGCAGCTTGGTGGTACGGAGTTAGCTGCCAACCCAGAGACTGGCAGTTCGAATCCACTAGCTGCTCTGTGTGACAATCTTCTCCAGTGTGATTTTCAGCCTCTGGAAACTCCTTGGAGGGTCAGCTGTGAGTCCACTCCCCATGGTGGCACACGGCGGCATCCCTAACCACCTTACCGGGCTCTCCACACACCAAACAACTGAAATGTGTCAGAAGGAAAAAGAAATAATGCTTATTACCATCTTCTTTTTAAAACTTTAAAAAAAAACAAATTACAAAATACATTCTGAACTTTTTCTTTAAAAATGCAGGTACTCCCTGTGATATGAGGACTTTTGGAAATGGCCTTTCTAGCGCTGCCTTCCCCCCTCTTGGGGTGCGGTCTCACCTGCAGACACAGGCCTTACTGACCAGGCCTTACTGACCAGCCCCGTCCACGTCATCAACAGCTGTGAGGCCAAGAGAAGAACTAAGCTGGCAGAGGAGATTGTGAGGTCAAGGGAAGAGCTAACAGCGTAGGTGACGGAGCCCAGGAGGAAGGGCCGGAGTTAAAGGCTGTGCTTGTGGACGATGAAGGAAGAGCTGACCGGTGGCAGCTATGAGACACAGCTTGCTGGACAGGTGAGGAAACCAGGTGCTTCTTCCATCTGTGCTGCTGAACTGAACCTGGACTTTCGTTTGCTGACTGAGAAGCTGTCTGAACTGATTGAGGGAATGTGTCTTGCTGTTAACCTGACCTGGGACTGGTGTTCACGAAACGTGCACTTTTACTGTGTGACATCCTTTGCCCCCAACCTATATCCCTAATAAACTCCACAACTGTGAGTAAAGTCAAGTGTGTGAGTCAATCTGCAATGAACATCAGATCCAGTAATTAGCAGAAGTAGGTGCGTGAGCGTGGAGGGACTGTGTCTGTCCAAAGGAATGGTTTTCAATACATGATTTCAGTGATGGGGAGAGTCTTCCTTTCCAAAGCTGGTACAAGTCAGACCCGGCCTTTCCCATGTGGTCCTGGCTTCCCATGTCCTCAACTTAAGACACACTTGAGTTGCAATGACCTTCTTTGCACCCATGACCAGCGCTGCTTTGTGGTTTAGCCTCCTTCTGTTGGTACGTCTTGACATAATACACACCACGTCCAGTGTCACAGCACGCAAACTGATGATGTCAGCATTCTCATTCAACCACCAAATAAATGTAACAGTGGATAATAAAAGGTAACAATAATAATGAAAGTTTTTTTAAAAAATGGAGTGTTTGATTTACGTCAGAAGTTACTTACAAGGAAGTTCTCAGAACGGGACCTTTGTAAACTAGGAACCACGTATCTGAGAATTAGCGCCAAAGAAAAAGTGAGTTTGGTTTGGCCAGTCTGAACGTGGGGTTGAATTCCTTGCGATGGAAACACCACTAACGTCCAGACAAAGACTATGGGATTATCACTACGGGGGGGTGGGGTAGATGAAGAGACAGCTTGGAAGGCAGGTGCCTGGAGAGACCACATAGATGAAGCTTTGTGAAGACAGCAGCCTGCAGTGTGGATTCCAACTCAGTACCAAGACACAAAACCCTTTACAAGTGCACCAATCGGCAACATCATAATAAAGGGAGAAAAGAAGGTACGAAATTCCTTGGACTTGGCAAAGCATACTGCATACACCACAGATGGTCAAATGAACAAACAAATCTGTTGGGAACACTTAGAAGCAGAAATGGCAAGATTTCTCCCTGGGTGTTTTGCGCGTATTCTCAGGAGCAGGAGCCCCTGGAGAAGGTGTCATACTTTGGAAAGTAGAGGTCAGTGAAGAAAAAGACCTTCAGCAAGACAGACCGATGCTGACTGGAACGACAGGCTAGAGTGCAGCAGACCATAAGCACACACACCGTAAGCAGGGCAGGGCTCTGGGCTCTTGCACACGGGGTCACTAGGATCGCTGAAGTCAACATGAAAGCATTAACACCTCCAGCGAAAAGAACAAACGCAGCTCGTGGAAGCAGCAGCCAGAGGCCGCTCAGAAGAGATGACTTCATCTTCCACACGGTGGTTATATTAGCCACAGGGACCGGTCCCTGGAGAAGGCCATCCTGACCAGGAACATAGAGGCTCCGTGACGGTGAGGAAGTCCCTCAGGGAGAAGGATGGAAGCTGTGGTTGAGGCAAGTGGCTCAGGCCTGGCAGGGACTGTGACCTGCTGCCCTCCGCCATGCCTTGTCCAGGTGGACAGAGGCTGCAAATGAGCAGGAAGTGGACGGAGGCTGCAAATGAGCGGGAAGTGGACAGCACCTAACACCAGGAACAACGGCTCTAAGCTGGGTCAGTGGCTTCACAGCACATTTACAGAAGGTGAGTGCACACGCTGTCCTCAGTGTAGGCAGGACACACCTGTCCCCAGGAATGCAGTCCTCTGCACCACCTGCGTGGACGGGGACTTGAAGTCTGCTCCTCCCATCCTCTGAGCCCACTTCCCTGCCCCAGGTAACCCAGGCACCTTGGTCACGGCTCACACCTTTGTCTGTGATTTCTTCCCACTGACACTCCTTAAGGAAACTCACAGGTCAGAGAGACTGTCTTTTTTAAGAAAAGCAGATAAGGAGACTCACCATTCCCAGGAAGATCATCTCCTCTTCTCTCTCTTTCTTAGTTTTCTTTCTTTGATAGAAGGCTCTCCAAATCTTAACATAAACAAATGGTTAATTTCTTTCATTCACCTGTTCACTGGTCACACTCTCTTGCCTTCACTATGCTTTGCAGATGTGGCATTTCCCCCTAAGTTCAGACTCGGGACCACCGTTCCTGGATCGTGTCTACTGAGCACGGTTTTTCTAACAGAACTCGCTCTCTTCCTGTCTCTCCTGCTGTGGTCATGCTCATGTTAATTCAAACCTCTCCTCGTGCACGTCACACCTCACAGATGGCTGTGGCGTGTCCACATAACTTCCGAGTGTCCTGTGATCACACTACAAAGCTTTTCAAGAGAGAACTAAGCCTAGAACCAACCCAGCTTTCCTAGAAATGAGACACCCTCTCCCCTCAAGAGGAACTGAGATTTCTGGGGTGGGGCTGGATCACAGGGTGGGGCTCACTGTCTTAAATGAAAACTACCCACAGCAGCCTGGAGAATTAGAACGGAACGGTGCCCCTCCCCACCTAAGATGCTCTTCCAAACCTTTCTAATCTCCCTCCAAGGATCTCAAAGAAAACAGTTTGGAGTATGTCCTCCACCCCGCTCTCACTCCCCTTGGAACAAAAGTAGCCACAGGAATGCATTTCCAGCGCAGTGGACAGTGAGTGCTCACAGACCAGCCCAGGGCTGCCAGGTGCACCCAGAGGTGGCTCTGAGGACAGGCAGCTGGCGATCTGCTCCTGAAAGGTGAAGCCCAGGAAGCAGTTCCCCTCTGCACACAGGGTCACCAGGCGCCAGAACCTGTAATTATCAACCACAGCACCCGAAGCTCAACCACAGGCTACACGCAGCATGTCTGAACATATTTTCTCTCTAGCCTAATTCTACTCTGTGTCACATTGCCATGTTTTGCAGTTTTCTGTAAGCAATCTTACATTAAAGAATAATAAGAAGGGGGAAAGCCCAAACCCCAACAAACCACCCAGCTTTGTCCTGACTCCCACAGCCCTCGGTGCCGCAGGCAGAGGGGAGACCTGTGCTCCGGCCGCGAGGCTGGCTTGCCTCTGAGCATAACGGACAGAGCTCTGGGGTCACAGTCCCTGGGATTCATGTAAACAGGAAGTTCCTCAGTGAGATGGACGCGCACCGTGGCTGAGACCACCGACTGACCGACATCCTTATTGAATGTCCCCAACTACAGCTTCCTAACCTCAGTCCACCATCTATCTATAAAATAGTCAAATAAAACAACTCGATTTTGTTTCGTGGGCACGGAGTGTGTACGACTGGCAGGTGGACATGGTGGCACAATGTGCAAGGCCACCAACGAGGCCGGCTTGTCAGTGCGGAAGTGGCTGTGTGGGTCAATGGTTCGTGTAGATGCTTTAACGCCATTAAAAGCAGCAGCACAAGAAGCTGCACTGCAATCTCAGAGGTGCATGGTTCGAATCCACCACATGCTCTGCTGGAGGAGAGACAATCTCCTCCTGTAGCAGTTGGACCCAATTTGATGGCGCACACACACAAAATAATGAAAATTAACAACAACAAAAGCAGCAGCAGCAGCCTGGGGTTTACTACCTATTTATAATAAAAATAAAAATCTGTAAGAATTTAGATTCTTTTTAGACCACACATCGCTAACAAGCTCTCCAGGACGAGTGTGGGCAGAAGCGTGGGGGGAAGCCCTTGGGACAGGCATCACACTAGGAAGAGTGGGGTCACCAGAGAGGAGGACGTGCTGGAGGACGGGTCGCCCTGGTGACTAACAAGGAGCTGGAGGATGACCAGCTGGTGAGGACGACGCAGGACAGGACCAGGTGGAGGGCCGCTGCTCACAGGATCACTGTGACTTGATGTCACCCCGCTAACAAGGGACTGGTCCCACTCAGGGGAAGACTGTTAGGGTCCCCTCCTCCTTCCATCCCCCCAGAGGAGCCCCAGCGTACCTTCTGGATGCACAGAGCGGCGCCCACCACGTCCGGGGCCTTGTCCCCCATCAGCCGGTTCTGCCGGGCCCTGACCTCACGGAGGAAGATCTGCTTCATGAACAGGGCCCGTAGGCGACCTTGACGGGCCCGCTCCGCGACCTGGATCACCTTAATGGCTTCGTCCAGCGGCATGACCTTCACGGCTTTTCTCTGCGGGAAAGCACAAAGCCAGGCTCAGACGAGCTCTCCACGCCAGCGGACCCCCACACGGCGCAGGCTTGTGTCCCCCACACCTGGCAGAGGGTCTTCTGCATGCTGGGGTGGGAGGGTAGGGGGTGCACAGATGTCAGAGCACCGCCGTCCTGGGGAACAATTCTGGTAAAAGCCGCGTGTGTATTGGATCACCATGAGGACCCTGGAGCTACTCGTTAGCAGCTGGCTGGCCAGTGGCCACCCGGGGCCACCGTCACCAGCCCCGTGCACAGCAGGGCTGCTCTGAGGAGCTTTCTAGGCCACGACCCCGGAGGCAGAAAGTCAGGCCTTTCAAGAGGCCACTGGGAGAGTTTGAACTGCCAACCTTTCATTTCATCTCTGAGTCCTTAACTTTTTGTGTCACCGAGGGGCTTTGACCATTTAATTAGCTCCACAGTAGTTGAAATGTCACTGGCAATGCTAATGAAATGGAGCCAGTAAAACACACTACTAGCTCAGGCGTAGAAAACCAAACACTGAAACGAAAACATAAAATGAGACGCAAGTTTTGAAATGCGTAAGAAGCAAAGCATGGGCGGGAAGCCAGCGGCAGGGAGCTCTGGGCAGATGCGAATTCTAAATCCACATTTGGCTGCTCATACGTTAGGAAGGTGGCAGGGCACTTTAGGGTCTCACTGACCAGTACGTGACGTCATCACCCCTCATTGTTGCCCCTATGACCTTCAGTGAATTCTGCACAAGTGAGGGGCTCCAGGGGGGCCTGGAGGGTGAGCTGAGCCCTTTCGTGGGGTAGGAGCACAGAGCCAGGCGCCAGTGGTGAGTGAGGCTGCTTGCCCAGCCTTGCACGCGTTCATAGCACTGCTCCACACTTAACAGACTACGGCATGGTGTGACACGGCTTCTGTGTGCACTGGGAAGCCAAAGCTAGTTCACGTGATTGCTTGGTTGTGGTCTGCACTTTGCCGTGGTCACCTGGAGAGGCCCTGTCCTGTCCTCCAGGCCAACTGTGTCACTCCAAGTTCTTGACAAATAAAGCTGATAACTCACCAAAAACACACGCAGGTTTATGCAACTTCTTACACACACCAGGCGTGCGCAGCGCTCCTTCCCCAGGAAGTTATGGAATCAGTGTTTCTAATGGTAACATCAGAAAATAGAGACGTGGTATATTACGGAATGACTGTGAAATGCGATACAAACCGTGCTCGCTGCATCCAGTCCACATTCCGCTAAGATCTGAGCAAGGATCTTCTCTCTTCCTTTTATCATTTCCAATTTCTCCTTCAGAAAATATCTGGGAATGGGAATATCTAACTGTTGCTAAAGAAGAAAAAATAAGCAAAAGAATATTTTTGTCACAATTTAAGAACCCAAATTCTTGCCAGAATACAGTAAGAACACGCACATCAAACCTTTGCTTCAACTCTGTGCCCTTTGAAGAACCACTACCATCGGACGAAATTCACAGCTACAGCTCAAAAGGTTAGATAGAGAGCTCACTTGGGCAGTGAACTCACGTAAACAGTGATGGAACACCCTAGAAGAGGCGGGCGAGGAGGGCTGCACACCTTGAAGGGTGTAATTAAAACCACTGAATTATGTGCACAGATACTGCTGTACTGGTGTATACGCTTTGCTCCACTCATTTTCAAAGCAATAATAAAGTTGTTAAAGAGAAAAATAAAACCCCACATTTGGTTTACTTTCCATTCCCAGCAGTTGTTGAGTATACTGGAGTTATGAGACTTCATTACTGCTTTGGAGACAGAGTATCTCATGGACGACCAAAAGGGGTCAGTGCCAACTCACGGCTGACCGTACAGCCGGTTTTCAGATGCTACAGGTCATACGGAAGGAGGCTGTCCGTTTTCCTCCCGCACGGCAGCTAGTGGACTTGAACCACACGCCTCTGGGTTGGCAGCTCATCTCCCAGTAATTTACCTAGAAGGTCTGCAGTGTCTCGGTGAAAAGTCTACGAATCCCATTTAAACCACAAAGACACTAGGTAAGGGAAGAAGGCGTGCTTACAGGAATCAGCTTCAGGTCCTGCAGAAGGTCATCAAAGTAGTGGAACTCGGTGAGCTCCAGCTCCACCATCTCGCTCTTCAGTTCCAGGATGCGGCCCATCACCCCGTCCAGCATCTTCCGGATCAGGATTCGCTTCTGCGGGTGCACGATCTGGTCGTAGACGTTCTCCATCTTCCGGAAGATCTGCACGTACTTGATGTAGAAGGTGGCCAGCATTTGGAAGATGAGCACCTGGCTTTGATGCGGCTCAATCTTCTGAGACTCTTTGTCGAGCAAAGAATTGAGGCTGTCCTGTGTCTGGTGCCATATCCTATTATACGTTCTGAGGGAAGACAGAAAGGTCATTTCTCAAGGCCTGCACACGAAAAGCTAATGTCTCAAGACAAAATGCGTAATCAAGCATTGCTTACAAATACTGGGTACGGTTTCAAGGTTGCCTGGTGGAAAGGAGCTGTTCTGCCAACCCAAAGGTATGTGGTTCGAATCCACCAGCTGCTCCATAGGAGAAAGATGGGCAGTCTCCTCCTGTGCAATTTCCTGACTCAAAAGCCTGCTGGAGGCTCAGCTCTGGGTTGGTTGCCCTCGCCGGTATATACAAGGTGCTGCTTCCATGTGCAAGCATGAAAACAGTGTGGGTGGCGTGGGCGTGCTGCAAAGCCCCTAACTTCATAAGGGGGAGCAATCCCCATCTGCAGCTCACAAAGGTGACTCCTGTGGGGTCAGACACGCCCACATTCCAGCACCCACTTTTAGCAATTTGCAATCACTTGCTATGCATCAAAGAGCTGGACAGTGACTAGGGATGAAAGAAAGAGAATGGATGCCTTTGAGCTGTGGTGCTGGAGAAGAGTATTGAATACACCATGGACTGCTAAGAAAACTAACAGATTTGTCCTGGAGAGGATTAAACCAGGCTGCTCCTTGGAGGCAAGGATTCTGAAGCTTTGTCTGACATACTCTGGACATGTTGCAAAAAGGACCAGTCCTTGGAGAGGGACATCATGCTTGGGAGGGTGGAGGGACAGCGCAGGAGAGGAAGACCCTCTGTAAGGTGGATTGATTCAGTGGCTGGGGTAATGGGGGTAGGTGTGTCGGAGATAGTGAGATTGACACAGGATAGAGCAGGGTTTAGGGCTGTTGTACATAGGGTCGCTATGAGTCACAGGTGACTCTAGATGGCACATAACAACAACAACAACAACCCCAAACCAGGTATTCACACTATTCACAGCGAGTATTCATGGTCATGGGGTTTATCAGGGAAGACAACGGATTACAGCTCAGGTTGGAAGCAAGATGCACTTCCCCAGTCAGGACAGCGTCTCGGGCTCGCTCACGGACTGTCAGCCGTAGACGGGGTTCCGAGCGTCTCCTCTCCTGTCATCACAGCCCCTGCTCCTCCCTCGCACCCTCAGTGAGAAGAAGCCTCACCCTCCTTGCCTCAAAGGAGCACCCTTGGTCACTCATCCTCCAAGAGATTGCCTTCTCTGTCCTCACTTGGTGCTGTCCCCTGAGACTTCCCATGTGAGCCACCAGGACTCTGATGAACACACTGATGCCAGAAACGTTCCTCTTTTTTTATGAATGCTTTTGCTTGTTTCAAATTTTAGTTAGTATTCTTTTCTGGGGGCTGTGATAGCAAAGTACGCCAAGCTGGGTGACTTACAGAGACGGACACGACTGACACCCACAGACTCGCTCGCTGCAGGGCTGCCTCCAGCCGTCCATCTGTAAGAGCCGGGACATCTGCAGGGCTCAGCACCCCGTCTCCTGTTGTGCCCACAACACCCTCCGCGCTGAGTTATGGAGTGGAGAAGTGATCACACCCGGAGAATATGGACAAGGGGCTGAAAGCCTTCTTTTCCCACCTGGCTCTCTCTTGGTTGGGTCCCCCCAGCTACATCCAGACACCAAAATCACCAACGCGAAGAAGACTCGCTAGTGCAGGAGGCCCCTACCATACAGTGTTTCTACCACAGAGAACACGGAGACCAGGATCTTGGCGCACCGGCCCAGGTGTTTGTACCAGTGCAGGAGGACTGATTAACGCTGTGTTCTGTGCTGTGGAGTTTGCCCTAACTCAGGACGAATGGCTGACCCCACAGTCAACAGCTCAAACCCATCCCCTGTGCAGATTTCTGCTGTGAGCGGGCCCAGCGCTGCAGCTGACAAGGAAAGGCCGACCCCACTGCAGCCACTGTGTCAGCTCATCTCCCAACGGCCTTTGCCTCCTCCTCCAACCAACTCTTCCAGGCACGACGTCCTTCTCCTGGGCCTGGCCCCTCCTGATAACATGCCCACATTGTTGTTTGTTGTTGTTATGTGCCGTTGAGTCACTTGTGACTCATAGCAACCCTGTTCTCTGTCCTGTGCCAATCACACTGTCTCTGACACACCCATCCCAATTACCACAGTCACTGAATCAATCCACGTCATAGAGGGCCTTCCCCTCCTGCGCTGTCCCTCTCCAAGAACTGGTCCCTCCTTATAACATGTTCAAAGTATGTTAGACAGAGCCTTAGAATCCTTGCCTCCAAGGAGCTGCCCTATTTAACCCTTTCCAGGATGAATCTCTTTGTTTTCCTAGCAGTCCATGGTATTCTCAATACTCTTCTCCAGCACCACAGCTCAAAGGCATCAATTCTCCTATCCTCCTTAGTCATTGTCCAACTCTCTGATGCATAACAAGTGATTGCAAAGACCATGGCCTGTATCAGACGCACCTTAGTCTCCAGAGAGACACCACTGCTCTTCAGTACTTTGGAGAGGTCCCTAACAGCAGACTTTCTCATGGCAATGCGCCTTTTAATTTCCTGGCTGCTGGTGCCAAGACTGTTGACTATGGAGCCAAGCAAACTAAAGCTGTGAACAATCTCAATCTCTTCACCATCCATCCTGATGCTCCCAATTGGTCCAGTGGTGAGAATCTTTGTCTTCCTGACATTGAGCCTCAGTCCATACTGGAGGCTGCAGGCCTTGACCCTCCGCAGCACATCACGTAGGATAAAGCCTTGCCGGAGCACTGGGACTGTCCTCCTTCCAGGACAGACTGACTTCTGGCTTCTGGCAGCCAGGGCACTGGATATTCTTTCCTAACAATTATTTACAAGCCGCGCTCTGCACCAGCCACTGTTACCAGCACCTTCTGCCTTTCCAAAGGCGAACACCCTGGCAATTCTGTGACTACACACAGGTGTGGGTAGGAGCAGCAAACAAAAGGTCAAGGGGGCTGGCCTTCTTCACACAACAGAAAACAGCGAGGCACTTCTCTGCCTTAACTTTCTCTCTCAGTGTGGAACTGGGACAGTGCAGAAAGGTGGAGCCCAGTCTCCGCTTCCCAAGTGCCTGGAATCCGAGGAGGACACTGACCCGAGAGCTGACACCGGCCACAATGACATCAGCTTCAACAACCGTCCGCAGGAGACAGAGAAAGACTCCCTCCCTGTGTTCTGAGGACTAAACACCATTTAGGGTCTCAACAAGCCCAGCAGATTAAAGGTCACTCACTCTCCAGATTTGTTTAGGAACTGAGGTCTGAAATTTCACCTGGTGAACAGCACAGGGCTCAGATCAAAAGCTGGGGTGCCTCTGGCTAAGGAGGGGTCAAGGCAGGAATGCAAGTTCAGCAGAAAGGAGAGCTTTAGTCAAAGTAGCCACAGACAGCACTGCCCACAGTAAATCACCTCCAGGGGCCCACAGCACAGGAAACCCACACCCACAGTCCTGGTCAGACACTCCTCCCCACCTCCTACCACAAAGCAAAATGATTCCTTCAAAAACACAGAGCAACGGAGATCCCCCAAATCACTCCAGGAGGAAGCAGGCCCTCAAAAAGCAATGAAGAAAAGAAAAAGAAAAAAGCAATGAAGGGGACAAGAGATAGAGGGAAAATATTTGGGGGGGGGGATAAAATTAAATAACTGTTTATTGGAAAATGCAATATGCTCAAATCCACTTAAATGCTGAAATAATAATACGTGTTTGGGAATAATGGTTATATTTCACATATACACATCATTATTATAGGATTTGACCAAATTCTTAAAGTCGTATCTTATTTTGGAGTTGTTGTTTTCTGTTTCCTGTATTCATGTATTCTGAGAGACAGGGGTGAGAGCTGAAGATGACGGCAACTGCTCAGCACAAACAGTGGGTTAAACGAAACTCGAAACTCGAGTGGATTAAAACAGTTGCTGTCCTATCACCTGAACACAGGTGAATGACGCGTAGTGTATGTGTCTTATTGTATGTATATGTAAACTGTTTTACGTATAGTGTATATGTGTGTATAGAGGTGTGTATGCTAAACATTACACAGTTAAGGACTTAGAATTTCTATACAGTATAATGTTGTTGTTGTTAGGTGTCGTTGAGTCAAGTGCGATGTATAGCGACTCTATGAACAATAGATCTGAGCCCTGTCCTGTCCTGCGCCATCCTCACACTTCCTGACACACAAGAGCCCATTGCAGTAGTCACTGTGTCAGTCCACCTGGTTGAGGGTCTTCCTTCCTCTCCTTCGCCGACCCTCCATCATTCCCAGCATCTCGTCCTTCTCAGAAAATATTTTTTTTTAACTACTGCTTGGAAAATTATAAGAAAATCCAAGCAAATCAGTGATAGCATACAATTGGACAACTGTGAGACCATTGTCCTGGGTCCCCCTTCAAACTGGGAACAAAACTCACCCTCAAGGCTCAACTTTCAAACAAACAACAGTCCTGCTGGCGAGTAACTCACTCCTATAACAATTCCCGGCACCAAGAGAAAGCTCAGAAAGCAGGAAAGGAGGGGACAGAAGGATGGCTGGAAACAAGAAACACAGGGAGGGATGAGGAAGAATATAATTACCCAGTAGGAACTGAAATTCAAGTCCTGAAACAGGATGTGGACAAATGGTTGAATTGGAAACCAATTGTAGCTGTAAATTTCCACTCAAATTACAATAGAAAATAATTTAAAGATACACACTCAGTAAATTGGTGCAGCAACATTCTAAGACACAGATACAAAACTGTAAAAACCAGGCATGAACAGAAAATTTAAAAAGAACAACAACAAAATAAAACACACCTTCACAGTACACGTGAAGACGGTTAAGTGGCTAATAATCAATGCGGTGCCGGCCACGGGAGACCTGCCTAAGAAGTCCAAGATCCCAGTGGCAGTCACATAGACATCTGAGCAAGTAGAATGCTGTGGGAAGCCAAATTTCATATTAAATATTTATAATAAACCAAATGCCATATCAGGTTAGGAGGGAGGCTGATACAAGTTGAACTCACCCTGAAGCACTAAGGCCATCCTTAATTGTTTACAGGGGTAGACACTTAAGCATTTCCAGGATTCTTGCATTTGCTAAGCCCTCCCTGCTGAGTCAAGCCCAAGGTTTTCAACAGAAAAAGCTTAGCTTCATTTGCATTGAATTCTCTTTGTGATTTGCTCCCTGGAGATTTTCAACAAAGACACAGGGAAGCTGGGACCATGTTTCAGTTGTTGGAGAACTGTTCACCTCCTGCTTTACCTCTTTTTACTTACAGTCTTGGTGTTCTGTCTCGTTGTTAATACTTCTTAATATACTTAACTCTCGGTCTGCAACAGAGGGCAGAACTGGCTCCTGCATCAAGGGACCAGATAGAAAGCCAGCAGCTCCTGAGGATGGCACGTTGTTGTGAGGTGCTATGGAACTGATTCTGATTCAGAGTGATGCAGGCACAGCAGAATGAACGCCTTCCCATGGTGTGCTGTCCCCACACGCTCCTTTGTGCTCAAGTCCACTGTGTCAGCAGCACTGAAACATGCTAGGGACCCACCAGAGCTCCCTTCATGGCGATGGGGGAGAGTGTATGTATCAGCAGGCCCGCCCTATACATGTACCAGCAGGCACACACAAGCATACACCAGTGTATGTACCAGCAGGTCCACTGAGTGTATATACCAGATGATCTTATTTTCTGGTACTTTCTACGTGTTGTATTTTTTCACAGACTGAAGGTTCGTGGCAAGCCAGCTTCCAGCAGCTCTACTGACATCCTTTTTTTCCTGAGATTATATGCTCATTTAGGGTCTGTAGGTCCCACGCTGGTCATTTCCCTCATGTTCCAAATGGTTTCATAATGTTGTGTGTGCTTAGCAGATTCTGACTCATGGTGACTCACTGGGTCTCCAAGGCAAGAATCTTTATGCAACAAGTTTGCCCAATTTTCTTTAAAGGAGATGCTAGGGGATTTGAACCACCAATCTTCAGTTAGCAATCTATCGGAGCTCCTTAATACAGCACAGTCTAACGAACAGATAGAGAGAAGATTCGATATAAATTACACGTCAACATCAAGAAAAGAAAAATCCTCACCACTGGACCAATAGACAACATCATGAAAGATGGAGAAGAGATTGAAGCTGTCAACAATTTTATTTTACTTGGATCCACACAGCCAATACCCATAGTACCAGCAATCACAAAGTCAAAACCTGTGTTGCATTGGGAAAATCTGCTGTCAAAGACCTCTCCAAAGTGCTAGAGAGCAGTAATGTCCGTTTAAAGATCCCAACCATGGTCTTTTCTATTACTTGCTATGCATCTGAATGTTGGGCAACGAATGAGGACAACCAAAGAAGAATCGATGCCTTTGAGTTGTGGTGTTGGAGAAGAGTACTGAATATCTCATGGACTGGTTAAAGAATAAACAAGTCTATCCTGGATGAGTCTGTGAACTTGGAGAAACGATGAAAGTTATACACGTGTTCAGGTCTTTCGTTCATAGGGTCACGATGAGTCGCCTATGACTCCACGGCACTTAATAACATCAACAACAACATCCTGGATGAAGTAGTCAGAGGGCCTCTTAGAAGCAGGGATGGTGAAATTTTGTCTCATGAACTTTAAGGCATGCTGTCAGAAGGAACCAGTTCTTAGAAAAAGACACCCTGCTAAAAAACGTTAGTAAAACAGTTGAAGACCTTCAACAAGATGGACTTGGACTGACACAGTGGCTGTAATAATGCGTTCAGCATATCAGAGAACGTGAAGACGGCACAGGATAGGGCAGGGTTTTCAGGTCGGCTGCATCACAGTAGACCCGATGGCATCCAGTAACAGTGCCCACGTAACTGTTCTATGCACCAGGACAGCAAATAACTTTGCACGACTCACTTGATTGCAGTGGTCTGGACTGAGCCCACAACCCACAATATTTCCTCCTCTCATTCTTCAGCTGACAGACACGGGCTGTTTCCTCTTGGGGCAATTATGAAAAGTGCTGCTAGGAGTGTTTGTGTACAAAGCCTTGTTAAAACCAGGACCTGTCTTCTCGGGCACCTGTGTCTGGCAGGTCACTTAACCTCTCTGCACCTACGTTTCCTCGCATGTCAAATTCGGATAATGATACCCACTCTGGACACTGCAGAGGATTATCCTGGGAATGGAGGACAGATGCTGCTGCCTTTGTGAAGGTTTTAAAGCACCTTATAAATAGAAGGCAGTATTTCATCCACGAGCCCACTTACATTTTAAAATAGACATGATTGGTTGCAGACGAGAGATGTTACAGCTTTTGAAGGCAGGAGGGCTGGGTAGCTGGGTAGGGGGACTGGTAATCACAGCTGAGAAAGACCAGAATGTCATTTTCATTGCTTGGCAATTTCCCAAAAGTCGGAGCTTGGGACTGTAGTGGGGGTGGGGTTCTGGAATATTCAGACACTGCAGTTACCTCAGGGGAAATGGAAATGTTGTTGTTGTGTACCGCTGAGTTGGGACCAACTCACAGCCGACCCCTCCAGCAGTTGTTCAGAGACAGTAAGTCACATGGCAGGAGATTGCCCATCTTTCTCCCACAGTGCAGCTGGTGGGTTCGAGCTGCATGCCTTTAGGCTGTTGGCACAGTTCTTTACCATCAGGCGATCACTGGAGCTAGTGGGAATTCTCTCTCCATCACTTTATACACAATGACCCCCAAAGTCCACAGTGCCATGAGAGCTCCTTTGCTACGTGACTGTGGTGCTGTGGGGTCAGCCTCACACACACAGAACAAAGCCCTGCCCTGCCTCACACCAGCCTCACAATCTCTGCTGTCACAGGCGTGGTCGGTCCACCTCACTTCCTCTTTCGCATCATGTCCGTTTCCAAGCACTGGCCTTTGCTGACATCATGTCCAAGGTATGTAGATGAAGACTCTTGACCGCTGAGGAGCACTGTGGCCTCATCTGTTCTAAGACAGAGTGTTCGTTCTGGCAGCCCACGGCATAGTCCGTATTCTCAGGCAAGGCCGTAATTCTTCAGTCTTCCTTATTCCTTATCCACCCTCTAATTCTCCACCATTATCGAGGTTTCCACTTCTTCCCCGCCACCTCCTTGCTCTCCTCCCTCACCCCGCCTTCTAAGTGGGGGCTCTCAGAGGCCCCATCGTGCCGGACACATTGCTAGCCAGGGCCCTCCCAGCTGTCTCCAGCAGGTCCAGGCCATTCTCCCTCTGCACCACCAAGCCCCCACTTCCGAACATCATTTCACCTCAGGGCATCACTCCCTGCACCTCGCTGTTGGCATCACCTGCTGACTGAGACTTTCCAGGGTGCCTTCTGGATACCCCAACGGCATCTCCACTGGAATTCTCTACTCTGCCTTCTCCCCTCTCCCTCTGAGAAACCACCACGGTCTCTCCTCCATCATGGTGATGAACTCCTCCTCAACAGCCAGCTCGGCCCTGGTCCTACACCCACCCCATGACCCTTCCCTTCTCCTGAGTCATCCTTCGGTCCTTGGTCCTCACCACGCAGACTTCAGCAAACAAGCAGGCTGCTGGACTGACTTCCTGTCTTAACAAAATCCCGCTCCTGACTCTGTCCCCTTTCCTTCCTACAGCTGAAGGCCACTGAAACGTTAGTGATGCCCTCCCTCCAAGCAGCTGGCCACCGTGAGCCAGAACGCCCCGGCGGCAGCCTACTGGGTTCAGTCTCGCTTACACTCCCTCTCATAGTTGGGAAAGGTCAGATAGGGAGGACGACCCTCTCAGCAAGATGGATTGGCACAGTGACTATAGCAGTGGGCTTGACCATGAGGCCGGTGCAGGACGGGGCGAGGTTCAGATCTGTGGTCCATGGGTCACCACCAATCACTGTGTACTCCACAGAAGGGACCACCAGCAACACTAGCAAGGGCACAGACCGGAGTGATTCTGTGGAGGGTGGCACCATGGACTTGCTGGATCAACTATTTGGTCTCGTTGTGACTAGGTTTCTTCATCCGTTGAATGAAAATGATAACCTATCAGCCCCCACGTTGCAGGGTTGTGAAGACTTAAACAAGCTGTTCCATCTCAAGTGTGCAGACCAGGCCTACACAGCTCCTCCTCTCTACAGGTACAAGACACGCTTGATGTGATGGGCCCAGATGAGGCTGCCCTGGTGTGTGGGCTCCTAACGGACAGAAGGCCGACTGTTTCCTGTCTGGACCACAATCAGCTGCGGGCCCTTGGTGAAAAGGAAACTGGGATCATAAACTGGCTTCAGAGCCTTCTTGGTTAAGTAATGGGAACTAGATGCCTTCACAAAAGAGGTCAGGTGTTCCTGTGCGTATATATCAAAAGAAGTAGATAAAGCAGGTGTATTGGGTCCCCACACACGTCAACAGGGGCTTAACTGCACGAGTTCATCCTCAAAGAAGAGTAGACCTAAGGGAAGAGTTTCCTGGCCCACAAAAAACTGACACTCTATCCTAGGCATATCTGAACTTAAAAAAAAGATAAAACAAGGAAGAAAAGAGAAGAAAGGAGGAGAAAGCGTAAGGGAGAGAGGAGAGGAGAACGTGTGAGGAGTTAAGAGCTGAAATGGGCAGGGAAGAGGAAGGAGAGGAGAGAATGAGAAGGGGAGGGGAGGGAGAAGGGGAGAGGAATGGAGGGGATTGGGGGAGGGGAGAAGGTGGAGGGGGCAGAAAGGAAGGAAGCAGGGGAGAGAGGGGGAGGCGAGAAGGGCCGTGCAGAGCAGGCCATGGAGTCTGTGGGGGTCGCCAAGCCCACCGTGCCTGGTGGGGATCTGGTGTGGACATCACTTACGCGTTCGACATGGCTGCTCCTCTCCTTGTCCCTCGCCCTCGGGCAGGCGTCCGCTACAGGGTTCAGGGCACCATTTCAGCGCCAGAAGTGTAGGGGTGTTGTAGGGTCAGGAAGGGGGACTAGGGTACCTCGCTTTGACAGTGACAGCCCACAGCCGGGGCCTCACCGGCCAGGAGCGCGCAGGGCACAGGAAAGAGGCTCCGGAAACTTCTAAACGAAGTTTGGCCAGACAAGGGGACAGGAGATGGCCCTAGCAACAAGACGCTGCGCCTGCGCAATGCTGACCCGCTCCAGCTGCACATCGCTCCCGAGTCCTGCCCTCTCTGCGCCTGCGCCGCTGCCTCCTATTACCATGGCAACCAGAGCAGCAGGTGGGACTCCGCTAGAGTGAGTGAGTACCAAGCGCGTTGCGCGGTTGCCTGGTCCCTGTCCGGTTCCTGTCCTCTGTCTGATTACCTCAGGCCATCTTCTCTGTCTTGTCAGTTCCAGCTTCATGTTGAACTGTGAGCTCGGGGCAAAGTTTTAACCCTCCAGCTTTCGACTCTTTCCATCCGTGACGTGGGAGGAATAGTCATCATTTCCCTGGCACACGGAGGTGTGGAGAGATTAGAAATCTCTGCCACCACGTGCAGGCTTAGGCAAAGGGGGTGCCCTGCTGGGCCCCAGTGACACTTCAGTTGGCTCCAGGGTCCCGAAAATGTAAAAGGCTTTGTGAACGGTAGTAATTAGTGAGTGTGCGCTTTAGTCTCTCTGCTTCCTCGACTTTTAGTAACTGCTGAAATCGATGTGTGGGTTTTAGGATCTGCAGTTTCTGTGGGAGCTGCATTTTCTGTAGGCTCTTACCCACACATGGGGGAGGGTCAATAAAAGGGGGGAGCATCTCCCAGAAGAATTTATGAAAGGATTGAAATGAGGGCACACACCCCCTGTAATTAAACAAGCTGGTAAGTGCAACTGGCATCACAGACATCAATGGCAAAGAGGCCTAAAGCCTGGACATTATCGACCTCATGTCCACTCCTCAAGCCCTGGAAAGACCCTGCCCAAGCAGGTCCTTGTTGAGTCACTCTGACTCCGGCACCTCGTGGGTTACAGTTCCGTCGGTTTTCCTGGTGGACCCTTTACTGAGGCTGGTCGACAGACCTTTCTGCTCCTGAAAGCCTGGCTGGACTAGAACCACCAACCTTTTACTTAGTAGTGAGTACAGATCATGTGTGCCACCTAGGTGCCAAAATGTCTACTGGAGTATTAAGAACAAGGAGACAGCAATACACCAAATATCCACACTAATACTTATCAATAAAACCAAAATCCAAAGGGAATACCAGAGGAATGTCTATCTGTGCTTCATTGACTATGCAAAGGCATTTGACTGTGTAGATCATAACAAACTGTGGCTGACTCTGAGAAGAATGGGAATCCCAGAACACTTGATCGTTCTAATGCGAAACTTATACTTGGACCAGGAGGCAGTCATCAGAACAGAGCAAGGGAACACTGCATGGTTCAAAATTGGGAAGGGCGTATGCCAGGGATGCATCCTATCTCCATACCTCTTCAACCTATATGCAGAACAGATTATCCGGGAGGCTGGGCTCTATGAGGAGAAATGTGGGGTCAGGATTGGTGGACGATTTATCAACAATCTGCGTTATGCGGATGACAGAACCCTGCTTGCTGAAACTGAGGAGGACCTGAAGCACCTGCTGCAGAGTGTCAAGGACTGCAGCCTGCAATATGGATTGAGGCTCAATGTCAAGAAGACAAAGATTCTCACCACTGGCCCAATCGGCAGCATCAGGATGGATGGTGAAGAGATTGAGATTGTACACAGCTTTAGTTTGCTTGGCTCCATAGTCAACAGTCTTGGCACCAGCAGCCAGGAAATTAAAAGGCGCATTGCCATGGGAAAGTCTGCTGTTAGGGACCTCTCCAAAGTGCTGAAGAGCAGTGGTGTCTCTCTGGAGACTAAGGTGCGTCTGATACAGGCCATGTTCTTCGCAATCACCTGTTATGCATCAGAGAGTTGTACAATGACCAAGGAGGATAGAAGGAGAACTGATGCCTTTGAACTGTGGTGCTGGAGAAGAGTACTGAGAATACCATGGACTGCTAGGAAAACAAATAGATTTGTCCTGGAGAGGGTAAACCGGGTGGCTCCTTGGAGGCAAGGATTCTGAGGCTCCGTCTAACTTACTTTGGACATGTTGTGAGGAGAGACCGGTCCTTGGAGAGGGACATCATGCTTGGGAGGGTGGAGGGACGGCGCAGGAGAGGAAGGCCCTCTATGAGGTGGATTGATTCAGTGACTGGGGTAATTGGGATGGGAGTGTCAGAGACAGTGTGATTGGCACAGGACAGAGCGGAGTTCAGGGCTGTTGTACATAGGGTCGCTATGAGTCGCAGGCGACTCGACGGCACATAACAACAACAACAACAACAACAAAACTTACCTGGCAGAGGAGATGCCATGATCACAGAGGTGCTTCTCCCAGGGCGAGGCTTATCACCCAGGGAGGTCTGGGTGTGCTGATCCCAGTGATTTCCACCAACATTGGAAACTCGACTGTGTCATTTGTGGTAGTGGGGAACTACATTCACACTTGCCCCCCAAAATGCCAAAAACAAGTGTATGACACCCCAAACCCAAACCCACTGCCATGAACTCAACTCTGACTCAGAGCCGCCCTGTAAGACAGAGCAGAACTGAGCTCCTGGGCTTCTGTGGCTGTGACCTTTCAGAAACAAACTGCCTCACTTTTCTCCCTCAGGGCACCTGGTGAAGCCAAACCACTGACTTTTTGGTTAGCTATGCATCAGAGAGCTGGATAATGACTAGGGATGATAAAAGGAGAATTGATGCCCTTGAGCTGTGGTGCTGAAGAAGAGTTTGTCCTGGAGAGAGTGAAACCAGACTGCTCCTTGGAGGCAAGGATTCTTAAGCTTCATCTGACATACTATGGACATGTTGCAAGGAGTGACCAGTCCTTAGAGAAGGACATCACGCATGGGAGGGTGGAGGGACAGCGCAGGATGGGAAGACCCTCTATGAGATGGATTGATTCAATGACTGGGGTGATGGGGGTAGATGTGTCAGAGACAATAAGGTTGGCACAGGATAGAGCAAGTGTCAGGGCTTTCATACATAGGGTCACTATGAGTCGCAAGTGACTCGATGGCACATAACAACAACAACAACGTGCTTACACCAGACCACCAGGACTGCTCCTCAATGTTGACGTCATTAGGTCTCTTCCTGTCAGAACTGGCTCATAGCTGACCCTCCAGCAGGCGTTCTAAGCTTTAGGTCGCACAGGAGATTGTCCACTGTTCCTTCATGGAGCATCTGGTGGATTCAAACCACATGCCCTTGGGTTGGCAGTGCAGCTCCTTAGCAACAGGCCACCGGAGCTCCTTTGAAGTAAAGATGACACATTACAATTTATGGAGAAGTGAGAGGGTAAGCAGATCATATGGGGAGATCCAGGGTAGATCAGACTCCTGTGAGGGGGACCCACCTCAGTAGAGGAGGGAGACCGAGGTGGGAGCCTCCTGTTCCCTAGGGCCCTGTACTGAGTGCAAGCAAAGATGCAACGTCTTGGACGCGTTTCTCTTACCCCCCCCCCATTCTTTCACCTCCATCCTTGCTGTCTGACCGCCCATTGGGTTTCTATGACTGTAAATTGCATGGAGTATATTGTCCATTTTTGTTCTTAGACGTCAGAGATGGGTTAGAACTCCTGGAGAGGCGTGTTCTTTGGGTGAGCAGCACAGCTCTGATGGATGGTGCCCGCAGCATGTCTCCTACGGGAGCTGAGGAATGGCCCCCAGTGCTATCAGGTCTTAAGCCCTGGAGCCTGTACGTGCTGCCTTATTTGGAGAAAGGATCTGCAGATATGAATAAATGAAGGATAGAGTCTGCAGATATGAATATGTGAAGGATTTTAGTATGAGCTTATTCTAGATTGTCTGGGTATAACCAAAATTCATAATTGCATGCGTAATTTGACATGTAGGCACACAGAAGTGAAAGAAACGCTGAGACAGAGGCTGAGTCTGCAGGGCTTCATCCACCAGGATTCCCCCCTACAGGCTTTGGAGGGAATATGGGCCTTTGGGAACCACAATTTGTGCCCTGTCATAGTGATTTCAGACTTCCGGACAGAGATGAAAAATGGTATGAGAGAACAAATTCCAAAACCCGAAACTGCTACTGCTGTGGGGTTCATCTGAATCCATAGTGGCCCTGTAGAACAGAGAAGGGTTGATTCACGAAGTTTCCAAGGCTGTCACGTCTTTCTTCCAAGGAGCAGCTGGTGGATCCAAACTACAGACCTTATGGTTGCCAGGCAAACATTTTAATGCCCATGTAAGCCACCGAGCTAGTGGTAATGGGCACAGGAAGAAAACACCGTTCTCACAAGGATGGGTGAGTGGTGGTAGAATTCCACCTGATCTTGAGTTGAGTCCAGACCTGCCCCCTGGGGGTCCTGTGGACGGGGCCTCACCCCCTGCTGCACACTTCCTCTGTAGGGAACCATACAATGGCAGCATCCCAGCTCCCGCTCCTCTGGGGGCAGGGAGAAGGGCGTTGAGCAGAACTTTCCCACAGTGTATTTGAGCCAATGAAAGCTGAGGAATGAATGAGAGAGACCAAGGATGGCTTTGAAGTGCCGTGTTAGTGACCAATGTGGAATCCATCATGGGCGGCCGAGAGAACAGGTGAGTCTCGCTTGGAAGAAGTGTGGCCAAGTGTCCCACGGAGACAACGAGGTGGACCTGACATTTTTCTAGGAGAGTCTGGTCCTTGGAGAAGGACATCATGCTTGGTGAAGTCGAGGGTCGGTGAAAAAAGAAGACCAGCAAGGAGATGCACATAATGGTCACAGCAGTGGACTTAGGGGATAGACACAATGACCTCAACAGTGGACTTAGGGGATGGACATAATGGTACAACAGTGGACTTAGGGCATGGGCACGGAGACCACAGCAGAGTGCTAAAGCACAGTAG